TCGGAAAAAATAAAAATAAGCATTGTTGCATATGTCGTGTAAAATCTTCTAGGCAAATACTTTTGGCCGTGAGTGTACATCTACATAGTACTTGTATCTACTCAGCACAAATAGCGATATTTCGCAGTTAGTGGTTTGCCCTCTTATTTGTATTGTAAATCAGCAATTAAAATGCTGTATAATTGCCGCTTTGAATTTACATTAAATAACTGACTAATTACACAGATAATTTATGTACATAAGTATGTGTACACCGAGAGTAGGCTGACTGTTAGACTGGGCAATGCTAATATGTCAGTGTGCTTCTACTTCGTTGAGCCTAACAAAAACAACAACAACAACCACATTTGTTGGATTCAATTATTTTTATTCGCTTTTTGCTTTTTTGCCACTATCTCATGTCTACCTCCCTTCAGTTTTTTGCGTGGTCTTTGTGCACTGCCCTGACACTTGTCTGGACTACATACATAGTTGGTTGGTGGTTGTCTTATTTGTCTGAGTGAGCTCCTTTGTTCAGTTACACGCCTACCGCCTTTGGCTGCCTTCAAAAACATACAAAAAAAAGTTACCTTACACACGCCAACTACCTTACTAACTACTGTTTGACATTCCACGGAGCGGCAGCTGCAGCTACAGCAAGAACGACAACACCAACAACAACATATAGCAACTACAACACAGCTTCAATAAGCTTCTTTGATTTGACTTGACTTCACTTGGCTTGGCTTGGTTTTTGGGTAGTTGCCATAATAACGCTTGATATGGTGGTCAAGTTATGCGCTCGGGCCCCAAGTGACTACTCGCTGGCTAGATGGCAAGCTGAGTGAATGAATGAGTGAGTGTGTGAGCAATCAGAGAGTCGGTTGGCAGCAGCTAGTTACATAGCTTTGCCGAACCACCAACATTCAGTCAGTCAATTGGTTAGTTACTAAACTTAGTTGGTCGCTTGCTTGGCTAGATGTAGGAAAAATCGCGTACAGTTTGTCAAGATGCAAAAAACGGCCGCAACCAGTAGCTGACTGACTGGTGAAAAAAAAATATATGGAATGCTTTAACTCTACTGTTGGCACTGATGTTGTGGCTGCTCCTATACACATCTTTTGATCGGCTGTGGCTTGTGCTTGTTGCCTGGCTGACGTTGATTGTCCAAGTAGCAACACGTTTCCAGTTCAGCGAGCACACCACCCGCTCGCGTTGCTTGCAGCCAGCGCCTCTTCTTAGCGCTGCCTTAGTCATCAGCACTTTCATTTCCTTTCCTTGCAATTATTTTCAGCTTCTTTGCAGCAGCTCCTTTTCATGCTTGCCCTGGTCGATGGTGAGGAGGGAAGGTGCGCGGAAAAACAAACTGACATCAAATTAAACTTACCTTCGCCGTAGTACATTGACTCATAAGGGGATACATGCGCTCCGTATGTAAGTATGCATGTACCTGAAAAATTGAATGAGCAGTCAGAGGCTCACCTCTTCTAATACCAGCGCTCTCATACTGCCTTTAGGTTATCTTGCCACTGGGTTCTAACAGCAGCCATTACCAGTATCTATCTACTTTTAATTTCTTCCTCCGCATGCCTCAAGTTTCGATACTAATTTGCGGCACACAGCCGAGATTGCACTCTCTTATGCCGCTTTAGTACACTTGAAAAGAAAAGTAGTCGTACGTTTTGCATTTCTATTGAGTTGTGTGAGAAATTCTGTTACCTACATAAATTGGGGCTTGACTTCAGAGTTTTGACTTGAAAAAAACCAACTTATCCACTACTTACTGCTACCTTACGCCTCGAGATCGTTACCTTACCACTTCTTCGAAATTTTACGAAGACCTTCGAAATAGTCATTTCTAGCCGACTTCCTTTCCTCAGTATTAGTTTAGTTTTTCTTCGAAGCTTTCTTTTTTATTTTAGGATATACATTGCAATCTGAACGATTTAAATCTAAACTATAGACTGTGTAATTTAATATTTCAAAAGCACATNAACCTTCGAAATAGTCATTTCTAGCCGACTTCCTTTCCTCAGCATTAGTTTAGTTTTTCTTCGAAGCTTTCTTTTTTATTTTAGGATATACATTGCAATCTGAATGATTTAAATCTAAACTATAGACTGTGTAATTTAATATTTCAAAAGCACATTTATAGATGTACATAGGACTGCGATGCTTGTCTGACTCTTGGGAACGGGCGCATTGCTATGCAAAATAAGCCCGACCCGAGTCCATTTTCCCGGCATTCCCAGCTGATTGTAAGACCTTGGACGTTTTTCTTTTGCCATTGCAAAGACGACCCCCCTTGTGGTGAACCAAATTTTGTCACTGGTAATAATTTGCTTCATAAATTCATCTCTGTTCTCGTTACCCATATCAAAAACCCTCGACGTGTCGATGCTTCTGAAGTTGGTTAAGTATTCTCGGCACCCATCTTGATATCTCAACCATTTCTGCGATTTGTACATCTTCTAGAACTACTTCTTCGCTTTAATTGGCTGCCCTGAGCGCTCATCCTATTTAATCGACTCTCAACATACTTGAATAATGAGCCTACTAAACTCCTCTTCGACTTCGATTNCGCTGAGCTTAGATTGTGCTTGAAACGGTCTGAGATGATATCTCAACCATTTCTGCGATTTGTACATCTTGTAGAACTACTTCTTCGCTTTAATTGGCTGCCCTGAGCGCTCATCCTATTTAATCGACCCTCAACATACTTGAATAATGAGCCTACTAAACTCCTCTTCGACTTCGATTGGTACTGAGCCACAAGCCCTCGGTAAATAACAGCACTGAATCTCCCTGCTCGTGTTCAATCGCTATTTTAGAGAAAGCGGTAGCCAGACCGCGCTCGCAGACAAAAGCAGACTAACCTCTGCTATGCAAGCTCGATCTGATAGTGATAATTTCTGGGCATCATCAGGCTCATCTGAAACATATATTTCCACAGCAAGCCTTTTTGCAATTGGAGGCTGGCCGGTGTCTATAATCCGCATCCTTCGGCATATGCTGTTTCGCCTTGTCGTTGGAGTTATGGGAAAGAGAGGCAACTCAGAAGACTAATCCTAAAAATTCGAAAGGCCAGTGTCGAAACCCTCAACCTGATTGATCTGTAATAAAATTTTCTTGTCCGCACCCGGCTATTCCTAGTTAGCACTAAGTCCAAAGGCATGACCGTAGCTATAGCCTGCCGTAACGTGGAGTGTGAAGCTGAATATTCGGCAGTCCAGCGAACAAAATAATTCTATTAAAAACTTCTACTAATTTTTGTTTCCACTAAGGTCGGGAATTTCGATATCATGGCAAGTTTTATTTTAAACTCGAGGTCGATCGGTATGCAGGGTCCTCATGGCAGCGCATTCTTTGGCATTTGCTGTTTCAACTTCTCTCAAAAAACAGTCCAAACCCAATTGGTCTCCAATATCGACTTCTCCTTTTCGAGAGCTTTCCTTCCAACTACCACTAATCAGTGCTATAGCCAAAGAAATGGCCTTACCGATAGCACTTTTTCAACCGAATGTGGAGGATGTAGCTTCACTCTGGTACTCCAGAGTAGTGATCACCCACTATCCGCACACCTGTCGACAGACAGTTCAGCTCTTCCATAATGGACTGCGTTAATTTTTTCGTGTATTCGTATGAAAAAAGTACAAATATTCGTACAGCCATTCTGTCCATGCTTGAATTATGGAAACGAATTTGTGCTATGTATTTCTGCAAACCGCTCCCTCACGTTAGCATAATTGCTTCTAGAAGTTTCTATTAAGTTGTTGAACTCCTTCTACATTTGCTATTGCCTACAACCACTTCTTGGTAGCCTCACTCCCTCCCACCTTCATCGTCTCGTGCCGTTGTTGAGCTCTCCAGCACGCATTTGCTCATGCTACTTCATCCCAATCCCCATGCCAATCGTTATATCATCTTATTCCTCCGCTCGTTTAGCTCATCGTACTCTTATCCTACTTTTCGCGTCGCGTTTTCAATCACACCCAACACCAAACCAGCAACGGCAATTATGCCCGTCAAAATGTCGACAGCTTCAATATAAAACAACTCAGCGCATACACAAACTAATAAATATACTCGTACATACATACAGATTTGAAGATTTTCTCGTTCACCTTTTTTGCCACCTTTCTCTGCTTCATGTTCGTTTTCTAATAAGTGCTTTTCTTCAACCTCTATTTCTTTGCAGATAAATAAAAGCAGTTTAAATCCGAAATCGGGTAAAAAAGTGACAACAATCAACTGCTCAAAAGAAATCAATCGTCTCGAAAAAATTACACGAAAGCGCAATAAACGCTCAAACAAAAGATACCAAGTGATTAAATTGTGGTACAAAATGTGAAGCCAAAATAAAACAACAACAAAAATAGCAAAGAAAAAGAAACGCTAAAAAATGCAAAAGCGCAAGACAGCGAAGTGAAAAGTTTTAAATAAAAGGTGAAAAAGAATCACATGTAATTAAACGACGCACAAGCAACGAAAAACGAAGACAGAGAGAGAGAGAGAGAAAGAGGGCGAGAAATACAAAGCCATCGTGTGAAAGGGTAAGAAATCGGTAACAAAATCCGTAAAAAGCAAAAGTAACACGCACAACCCAAACCCTGATCCCCAGTCCAGTATCAGACCGTGAAGAAGACCCCAGTCTCTGTGTGCACAGTCCAAGTCCCGTGAGGGACCGCAGGCGACGCCACACGAGACGAACACGAAACGTAACACGCACGGAGCAGCAGCTAAAAACAGCAACCCACAAACAGGGGGAACGTTGTAATAAAAGAAAACCAACAAAAAAAAAACAACAATTCGTTCGCCTCGCCACAGCTTCGATTTTGAGCTGTCATAACGCCGATACGACTCAGACGCAAAGGAAAACAACATCGGCGGCGTGCAGGGCGCAATCAAACAACACATTGAAGCTAGGCAAATTCAAGCTGAAAGAAACTACAATAAGTACGCGGTCAACGCGCCTNAGCTGTCATAACGCCGATACGACTCAGACGCAAAGGAAAACAACATCGGCAGCGTGCAGGGCGCAATCAAACAACACATTGAAGCTAGGCAAATTCAAGCTGAAAGAAACTACAATAAATACGCGGTCAACGCGCCTGCAGCAGCAGCAGCAACAGCAAAAGCAGTGCAACAGCCACACCACCAACAAATAAAAAATCCTCCGCCACGCATACAAAGCAGGCAAACAAGCAATCAATCTTGACGTGCGAGCAAGCTGAGTAGTGAGTAGAAACCACTTTTGAGTACAAAAGCAATTGCGCTATTCGCTCACACCGTTTTTGCCTGCAGCTGCAACAACGGCGACGGCTATCAAGAAAATTGAAATTTTTCCTATGCGTTGCGGAGCGTAAAAAACAGGTATTATATGCAGCTAAACTCGATGTATAGAGAGAGAGAGAGAGAGAAGGAGAATAGTTAAGAAGCATTACAACGTGTCAAAGCAGAAGAAAAGTGCATGCGATTGCTGCAGAGAGTGTGTGCATCTGGTATGAGAGAGCAATAGCGCGAAAAAGGCGAGAGCGCGCTGCGTGCAACGAGAGAGCGCAACATACTACAACTGGAACTGTTTTTGGTTGCGCTGCATTCGTATTTGTAACGACCACGGGTGGTGTGGGTACACAGCAACTGCTGCAATTACAACAACTAAAAATAGTAACTAGTCTGGCTGGTTGCAGGCAAAAGGTGGTCACGCAAGACGTGTAACTAACTAACCAACGAAGAAACGAAAAAAGCGAACAAGCGGCCAGTCAGTCAACGAGGAAGTAGCGGCAAGACTACACTGGAAAGTTGAAAAGAACAAAAAGTACAAAATAAAGCCAGTAAAAAGGCAGCTGTCGACTGATACCGTGCACACAAGCACACGCGCGCGCGTTTGACAACATTTTACACCTTTTTCTCCTGTCATCAACGAAGTGCAAAATATACTGACGCTAAGCAGGCTGTCCTGCTGTATGTCCGATTGACCGATTGAGCGCGCGATAGCCAAGCTAAAACACGACGTCAAGGCAATAGTTTCGGAAGCGCGCGCACGCAAGGAATACGCGACAGTAGGGCGCGAAGAAAATTCGTATCCGCGCGGAGTGAACACAAATACGATTGAGTGAAGCGCAGGACCTCATACACTTTTCCAAGCACAGCGCGGCACGGTAAATTGCGTTTAGTTTTCAGTGACCATCGCCGTATTGTGCCGGGCGCATACCCAAATGCAAATTTCATACGAGTATTATTATGGGCCGTTCCAAGTTTCCCGGGAAACCGTCCAAGTCGATTAATCGTAAGCGTATCAGTGTATTAAAATTGGATGAAGAAGCGGCGGCAGAACCTGAGGATGATCTAACAGCGGCGAGTGTTGACAGCGATAAACGCGACAACTGTGATGATGATGATGATGATGAAAAGGGCGATGGCAGTGGCACCGCAGGCGGTGATGGTGTTGGAGAAAGCGGTGAAGCGGGAGGCACAAGTGATGGCAGCGGTAGTGGTGGTGGCGTGCGCAATGTAAACAGTGGCAGTGGTGCAAGCGGTGACAACGAGATGGGGAGTGATAATAATGCCAACGGCAAGGGCGCAAAAGCGGTGGGGGATAGCGCTGCCAGCAGCAGTAAACTTGCCAGTGGCGCGAAAAGTGCTGAAACTGCACAAAGAGCAGCAGTCAGCAACAGCACCAGTACCAGCAAATTCAAAAATAGGAGCAGCAGCAGGGGCAAAAGTAGGCACAAGGAGGCTGATACCACTGCTGCCAGCCACGGCGATATGGATAAAATAGTCGAAGTCGAAGTTGCACTTGATGACAGCAAAAAGCAAGCAAGTGGCGCAAGTGTAGTTGCGGATAAAGTGGATGACAAAGCGCGTGCAACGAGGCATATGACAGCAACTGCTGCTGTTGACCAAGGAAAAGTTGTTGATTGCGATAATGCAACGCATAGTGCACAAAAGCAGCCCGTTGATGTGGCGATGGAAGTTGAAGATGCTGAGGCTGAAGAGAATGAAGGAGATGAGTGTCATAATCCGCCGGGGAACGACCATTCAGTTGTTCTAGACGGTGAAGGTGCTTGTGATGATGCTGATGGCAATGACGACGACGACGACGACGACGACGAGGACGAGGAGGACGAGGATGACAATGTTTCGTGTACTAGTCGGAAATCGGTGCAATCTGCTTGCTCAGCGACCTCTTCAAACGCCTCATCAATTGGCTCCGCCACCACAACAACAATAGCAACTGCAGGGCCAGGAGCTAGGTCAGTGGCAACAGCATTGGCATTTAGCCGTAGCAAACGTGATGGTAAATTTAAAAACTTGAATCTTGCCAAGCCTGAGGTGATGTTGCCATCATCGGCGAGATTAAGGCAACTGCAACAACAAAACCAACTTAATTGCCCTTCTCCACCAGCTGCAACAGCAAGCGGCAACGGCAACAAACACGGTGGTGCAACTAAATCGTCGACGACTACATCTTCGGCCACGGCCACAAACACTTCGCGCTTCTCGAATCCCTTCGCTGTCGATGGTACGCTTTGTGCGGCTGACACTGACGATGAGGCGTCGTCGTGTATCATGGCCGCTGATGAGGTAATAAATGGCAGTGTTGGCGTTGCGAACGTTCACCATGGCAATGGAGGGTGCGGGAGCGGTGGTGGTGGTGGTGGTGGTGTTGCCGGTAGCGGTTGTGCTGACAATGATGGCGTTGCAATGGTAAGTGCTTTTGATTGCATTTCTTTCGCTTCTTTACATTGTCATTATTATTATTTTTTTTTTTAGTTTCTGTTTTATTTCTTCATTGTTTTTATTTTGCCTGTTATTTTTACTGCAGTGATGTGCTTGTGCGCGCCTTTAAGTTGTTGACTGCCTTTGTTGATTCTACTGAAGTATGTAGCTCCTTTTTGGCTATTGTTTTTCTTTCACTTGTTTTATTTTAAATTCCTGTGTAGGTAGCACTATACATATTATTACTTACTTTGCTTCTATACTTTTATTTTTATTTGTATATTTAAATATTTATGTATATGTTTGTTGTTTACGCCTTTGTTTGCGTTACTGATGGCGTTGTCTTGTCCCGTATTTCTTGTTTCTCTTCTCCTTCTTTACACTGTTGATTGTGTGCTGATCTTTTTGGTATTTAAAAGGATTGATTCATCTCATCGTCACAAATTGCGGTTTTGAATTGGTTCCCTTCTTACGCTTCCCATTGTTTGTTTATACGTTCGACCGTTTCAGGCGCGAGGTGTGGCCCCATTAAACGAGCGCTTTTGTTCCTGCGAATGCAAAAAGTTGACATTTTAATGAGTACACTTACATCCGAGTTTTGCCGAACATTGGCAACGTTTTCTCAGAAGCCATTTGGTTATAAAAATATTAAATTTGTGTTGGTTGAAAAGGCAGCCGTATTTAGCTTGATTTAAGTTGGGATGAATGCTCTTGGTTAGGCCAAATAAGGACATATCTATGGGTGATACAGTTGTAGCACTATTTTACTGACAACCGTCATGAAATCAGTTTAATTAACGCTCAAGGGACTAAGATATTGGGTAATCGAAAAAGTTCTAACGGATTTGGGTATCAAAATTAAATGAATCTTTTCTCATATTTTAAATGAACTTTTTAAACGAAGTTTGTCGAAGGATATGAATTCGTCGGAATATTTTTTTTTGTGTGTATTACCGGATAACTTTGGCCCACGTGGACCGTTTTCGATAATTCTTTTTTTTTTATAGAAAGGTACCCCAGGGGTGGTCCATAATAAATTGGTTAAGATCTGTTTTTGGATGATGAAAAAATTAACGGTACTCTTAAATTTTTATATGAGAATTGAAGCCGGTCTTATTTTTTGCTTAAAATTACTTGTTTTTTTCTGGTAAAACTATAGTTACGGGCCCGATCTTGATAGCCATCTATATATTAGTAGGCTAACATAAAATTGGTTTGGCGATTTTTCTAGACCGATTTCAAAGCCAAGAACACCGTTGGAAAGGTATTTTACGGCCGAAATCGTCGTTAAAAAATTTCCGTATCTATGTTGCAAGTTGTTCATTTTGAGTTTTCAAATTTTCTTTCACTTCGTATTTGAAATGAAACTTTGTAAAGATGAAGAAAGAAATTATAAGAAACGATGAAGATTAAAAATTAAGGCAAAATAGAAGATAAAGACGGAAATGTAAACAATGAATTAGGTTAAGAAAATTTTTTTAAATTTTTGGAAAAAATACATATATCCAGTCATCAAACATTTATTTTTCGAAAATTATCCAGTCATAAAAATGTATCCGAGTCATCGAAGCTTATAGTTATCAAAATTTCTCGGGCTACCCATGTTTATTGAGTTATCGAAATTATCGTTACACAGAAACTTAGTTATCGAGTTATAAAAATTTTTGGAATTGTCGAATTATCGATATTTTTGGAGTTACATATTAATATTTGCGAACTCATAAGTATATGGAGTTCTTTCGACTTATCGGAGTTATCGATATTTATTGCTTTATCGAAATTTGTTGATAGTTATCGAAATTTGTTTTTGAATTTTCCGAGGATGTTAAACGATAGCCGTAAATAAAGAAGACACTTCAGCTTTCGTTAACAACAAGAACACAAAGATATGAATTTATTCAGAGTTTAATGTAACGAAGTTTAATTGTAAAACGATTTCAATATTTCTTGACTCGTTGGCGTCTGTTCGCGTGTCGAGTAAAAGAAAAGGAAAACTAATGGCATACCATGCCAGGCTTTCACGTCCATAAACCTAGCTGACCCAAGTCGCCCAAAAATTAGTTTTAGTGGCGTTGAAGAACACCTAAAAAACACCTAATTCCAGCATATATCTGGAAAATTTAAAACCTAAATTTAACGATGGGTCAGCTAGGTTTACGTAAACCTA